AGAGATATTACAAATACCCAAAAGGAACCTGCTGTGATGCTTTACAAGATACTGGCATGTATGACCCACAAACTAGAAGCTTAAAACCAGAGGAAAATACATATTGGATTTACTGTTAACTGGCCATGAAGCTCTGAATCAGAATAGGACATTAAAAAAAAAATGTTTGCTAGATATGTGACTTCCAGGGACATCTCAAGCTGATCTGACAATTCTTACTTGCCAGAAAATTAATGGAAAATCACCTCTTCTGAAGGAAAATATACTTTGCCTGAAGACTTCATCTTTTCTCCAATGTCTCATCCAATCCTATTCCTCTGAAAGGAGGGCTAACACAATGAAAAGAGAAGATGACACCACTTCCCTGGAAGCTCTAACTTGATGGTTTACCACCTAAAAGTAAGAATGTGTCTACCCCAAAATTTTCAGTTTTCATGATCACAAAACTTGACAGCAGAGGAGTAAAAGGCAACAGCAGCATGGAGACAGAAAATAAACAGCAACACAAAAGTGCAAGGATGGAAACTCTGCAGGCAGATAAATCACCTGGATTTCCTACCTGCAGATTAGTAAGAAGTAAGAATTTAGATGCAAAAGAAAACTTGTAAAAGATTAAACATTTTCTCTGACCAGTGTGCAAAGAATGTATTATGTAGATTTAAGCAAACTGTCATCTCAAATGTTGTAGGAAACTACATTCAACTACTGAACGAGAGTGAAGAAAGAATAAAATGTGGGAAATAAACATTCCTTTTTCGTGCGCATTTCATAACAGTCATTATTCATTCTAAAGTAATATTAAGTGTTGAATTAAAGGATTTGGTTTTTGAAATTAGCAAGGGGGAAAAACGTACTAAATTCTGATACTTTGCTCCTGTTTTCCATGTTCTCAATTTCCTTGTTGGCTCTACAATAAAATTTTGTTTTAATGAAATGTTAGTGAAAAAAAAAGTTGTAGTTGGATTTAGTTTAAAAGATAGTAAATAAAACATACTAAATTGGATAGACTTTGGTCTGGGTTATGAATTTAGAAAGCTAGATAAATAAACCACCACCAAATGCTTCACAGTCTTCAATGTTTCAAAAGAATAATGGTTCAGAAATCAGTTTTTAAAGCGTAAGGATATCTATTAATTTTCTGACTTTGCTCACCTCCTTCATTATTTTCCCACTTGTTCTCTAATGTATTGCAAAACAGTATTGCAGAGGGAAGCAGTTTTAGGTTTTGCCCTAACCATGCCTCATTCACTCATGATGATTCAGCAATTTACACAAAAGAATGCACAGAAGACATTCTGGTTTACACAAAATTTTAGAAATATCAGCTTTCTTACTGGGGCTGCTATATGTTTGCATCCACAGTTATTTTTCCATTCTGTCACAGAGTTTTGCGAGTTTTGCTCCTGCTGGTTAGAATAAACAATTTCCCACGAGAGGTCACCTCTTCCCACAGTGTCCAGGCAGGTTTTTATGAGAAGTGGTGCAATGTCAGCAGACCAGATAGGAACTGCATCTTGCCCTCCTCTTAATTCCAAACCATATTCAAAATCTCCACTGACTTTCTCATCACCTTTCCACTGCGTGCATGAGAGCAAAAAGGCAAAAAAAATCACCAGTAAGAAGAATGTTTTCTAGGGTATAAAGAGGAAAGTGTGAGAAATCTTTTTAAGAGACAAAGGCAATTATTAGGAGGAAGGTGCACAGAAAATTGTGTTTCTCCCAAGCATGTTTCAGTAACAGAAGTGCTGATGTCTCACTATATCCTGTGAAGTCATCACAAACCACTGTACCAAGTAATGACACAAGAAACACTGGGTTCACAAACTTTTGTGGCTGCACAATGTGCTGCTCTGAGCTTGCTCTGCCCCAGGAAGGAACCACAGGGGTATCATCCAGTAAAGCTGCCAAACAGACATGTAAGCAACTAGAAAAACTTTCCACAGTATATCTGGGTATTCAAATACAGTCCAGATACCACCAGAGCAGCAGAGAAACACTGCTTTTAAGCCCCCAATGCACATTATTTACCGATTATAGATTTGCAGATATTAACAGACTTTGTGCATAAGCAACTTTCCTGATGAAATTAAGCAGAGATATTCAAGTAAAGTAAATGTTCTGTTATTCATGTCCCACAGACAAAAGCCACTTCACAGAGCTAGAAGTTGATAACTGTAGCATGACAACTCTAATTACACAGTCAAATGCTAATACAGCTGAACCCTACCTCTGTTCAGCAGTCCATTGCAAATTATTTTGGAACAAGACATGGGCTTTTGTTTCACATGAATCAATCCTCCCTTTCATTATCCCCTCTTGATACAGAACACACAAACCTATCCTGCTTCATGGGAATAATTTGGAGATGAAAGAATATAAAAATCACAACTACAATATTTTTCTCAACCTTTCCATGTATGTTAGTTCCAGGTGAGCATCCAGCAGTGCAAAGGCATATACAGAGGCAAACAGAGTAGGGTTTGTGAAACACTGTATTTAGAATTGTGCATAGTACAGATACTCCATTCATATGTTGAGACATAATGAGTAACCATAATGACTAATCATAATGACAAAACCTTAGAAGACATTGTATAAAGCAGAATATTTACATGCTTTTAATTTACAGCAGAATTTTTTCTCTAGAATTATTATGCCACTAATGTGGACATCAAGCATAACAGCTGTTTTTTATGACAATCAGACTTCCACATAAGAAATGCCATTCTCTTAAATAAAGTATCTTTCTGACACACATTGAGAAAACCATATGCCTGTGTAACAGCTACATCAATGACCTTCAAAAAGCACCATTTGCATGTACATGATAAATTGCAATGCTGGAGTCATAATTTGTTTAGTCATGGTCATATGTCAGTTGGCCTTGCTGGGGTCTCATCAACAAAACAATCATTTGTCAGAAAAATACAGCTTATATTTCAGAAATACTAGTTATGACAAAACCTATAATGGTAAAAGGACTCTCATGTTCCGATTTATACTCGTCTCAGAAAAGGCATCTCAAACAGTGTTTCTATTCAAATGGCAGGGAGGATGGTTACTCAAATATTCAGTTCTAATTCAATTCTAATTTATAGCAAGACATATTTTATACTGGTCTCTCTAATTTATAACACTCAGTTGAAGAGAACTGAACTTGGTGACGTGAAAAATCCCTTCCTTATACTCTACCCTACATTATTTTCCCATTGGAGCACTACTTTTGAATATTGATTCAAAGATCTACCAGTTTTGAAAATCCTTAAGTTTCACATAAACTCCAAAAATAATTGCACTTTGAAACAAAGAGCTTGATAGTCAATCAGCTATTTTCTGACTACAAATTGATGCAGCTACACACAACACAGAATACTCTTAAGGAGGAAATAAGAAATATGCTGCTATACTGCTAGCTTGAGCCTCTCCAGAATATAAATGTTGAACCATGACTGAAGCTCTTTGATACTAATTTCAGCATTGCTTAATTGCTAATTCGTTCATTATCATGGATTAAAGTGGAAAAATGAACTGCAGAAAAAAAATCTTGCTATCATTAGCAAAATTGTTGTGCTAATAATAACAATAACAATTCCTCCTTAACCAAAGATAGCAATAAATTAGACTGTGTTTATTTGGTTTAATAGAGAATGCATTGGTGGATAACCACATTGCACCTTTAATCAATTGGGAAATCAATCTTTCTTTATGAATTTCCACAGCTCCTACAAATGGTAGTTGCATTTTTTTCTAAGCCTGAACTCCAAACACTGTCAAATGCTGCAGTCCCACCGGCCACTTAAAGACAAATTTAATTGTATTGTTGAATATTGTGGCTGTGTTATTTGTTTTGTTGTTGTGTTTTACAGAAATGAGCAACACCTCATACGCAGTAAAGCACTTTCATCCAACATACTTAGGCAAAATATCAATGTTATTCCCCAGTCTTAGTGTGGGAACAAAGCAGAGACTATTAAAGTAATAATATGAAGTTCTATCTATGAATTGTTGCTTTGCATATCCTTCTGCAAGTGGGGCAGGAAGCAACTCAAGGCATAAAATAGTAAGCAACATGTGTGATATGGAGAAAGAAAGTCTGAAAGTCCTAAGTACAACGTATTAAGACACTTATTTCTCTGACATGGTACACAGAAGTAGATTAAACAATGCAGTACAACCCTATATATGGTACAGCAAATGTGAGTACTACCTGATATTAAATTGAAAAAATTGCAACATGGTACTTTGGTTTTTCTTGTCAGGGACCATCATTTGCCTCTAATTATCAGAGGCAAATGAGTTACATAGTCTATGTACCTCGACTAACAAACTCAGATTATCTAATCTGCTTTAGTACAAAAAGCAACATGTGTTTCTTTGGGGATCACAACTCACTCTGATGATTGAAGAGGATGTCACCTACTATGAAATGTTTTCCTCAAAGCTGTCAATGAAATCAATCACAGTCAAAATAAGTTTTGTTCTATCTCTGTTTCAATTCAGCCATGATCTTGAAACAAATTTATGTTAGCTGTGGGTTGAACCCAGAATAAACAAGCTAAAGTTAAAGGGGTTTGGGAATGCATTTCTGTGTAATGTATTTGTTTCAATTTATTTCACAACAACCTTACACTCATTAAAGGCAAGCACGCCCCTAACAAGGATAACCTTTCTAGGAGACTGTGAAATATGGAATATCACTGATTATGCTGAAAACCATCAAAAATGTGAATGAAATGAGAAAGAATTTGAATGAACATCAGTATATAAACAAAATATAAACTGAAAACTCTTGCAATAACACAGATGGTATATGTTAAGCTATTTGGCAGATGCTAGGGATGACTTCCAGCACTCTGAAGTCACCAAAAGCCTTTGCTTTAACTTCAAAGTATTTGTTGTCTGAATAAAACAAAGTTTATATTCATATATATCAACATAGTGCACAATGCTGCAATTCTCAGATCAAAACATGGCAAAAGTCTATATATTATAGTGCTTACCATTATCACTTTTGAGATTTCCATTGCTGAGCTGTTTCAACCTCTTCTGATGGGATTTGCCGTTGTAGTGGATTTGTGCCTGAGCAGCAGAGTTTAGCTGAATGTTACAGACATTACACAAAGTGAAATTGGTGTGTTTCTTTTCTCTCTCCTTCTTTTCTTCAGTGCCATCAGGTGCTAATTCTTTCTCACCTTCCCGGTCTGGGAGAGATGTGAAATCTGAATTGTATGCCTGGTTATCAATGGGTAAATCAGGGCTCCAGGGCTTCTTCATATTTTCTGAGAAGAAAAAAACACATGAGAGAAAATTGTTGAGAACACAAAATAATGTAGAAAAGATAGCAACCTCTGCAAACCACTAAAAGGCAGAAAACACTTTTTTGCATTTTATATTTTGACATTATGTTTCCACTCATATATTTTGCTTTCTGTTAAACTTTTTCAGTTCTTATGTAACTCGACTAACTTTACAGCCAAGTGAAGCCCAAAGCTGAGCTACCATCAGATGTGGATGTGGCACCTCCTGTGATAACTTATCTAAGAAAGGGTAAAAAAACTGCAGGAGCTGAGAAAAAAATGTGAGACAAAACAACCCTTCAGTCAATGGAAGAAAAGGGGTAGAAAGTATAATTAACAGAAGAACCTTCCCCCTGCTTATATATTTGTTCCATAAGCTTAAATGCAGAGACCTCACCCTTGAGTTTATTAAATGTTTAGCAACCCCTGTTACCCTCTCCCCACTTCCTGTGATTGTTCTGAAGCCCAAGTCTAATAACTTCATAACTTTCTCATGTAAAGTAGTTCAAAGACAAATAAACATGTTATTAGTTTCTTATCTTAACCACTCAGGATTATAATTGAAGGATAGTTATCTTAGATTCAGCTAATACCAGGCAGCAACAACTACAGAAATTAGCAGATAATCCCATCTGCAGAACTTCAAGTGAAACTAATGTAACTGTGAGCTTCCATGATTAAAAGTGAGCAGAAATGGCACAGGTAAAGAAATGCTCTGAGCACTGCAAACCTAATTTACTATTCAAGGAATGCAAAATGTTATACCAACTTAGCATTTTGATGAGACCTTTATATGCCATATAAATCTTTAAAGTGCTTGTTCACCCAGACTTAGTGAATAAATGAAGGTCTAGACAAAGAATCTAATCTATACTTTGAGTGACAAAATTACTGCAGCCTTAAATACGATGATACTATTTGGTCTCTAATTGACAAATCAATCAACCTAGAGACAAAAAAAGATTATTGCAGCTACACAAGAAAATGGGTCTTTAATGCCAGATCCAGAAGAGTTTCAGTGTCTAAAACAAGCCTCCAGATTTGGACCTGATTACAATAAAATGCTGTAAATCATTCTTGAGATAGCTTCAAATTACTTAAATTTCATCAACTTAACTTTTTTGACAGCTCTCCCAAGGATTTAAAGACAATTATTGCCCTCAAATCAAATCACAAAGACAAATTTATATAAAGAAGCAAATCTAAAGTCTATCAATATTCAAATCAGTTTCAATCTCAGTTTTCAGTTCTGCTTGATATCTAATTAGCATTGTGTTCTATGCTAACTAAACACCACTTCATTTAAGAAAGGACAAACTCAAGTCTGAGAGGACCTCTGCACTTGCTGTATATTTAAACCTCACTCAACTAGATCTGTCAGTATTATTTCAGCTTCTGTGCACAGTCAGCTCTTACCTAGGATTGTAGCTGTTAAAAGCAAGAGATGAGAAATAGGCTAAAAAATTCATTAGAAAGCAAAAGACATTGCAAGACTGTAGAAGCTTAGAAGAAAATCTGATGTTTGTAAATAGCAGACCTATAGCATTTTTCTCCTAACATAAGGAGGAGGTTTCTCCTGAGGATGAAGCATAAATCTATCAGCCTCTCAGCCCTTCTGGAGTTTGCTGGAGAAACTCCAAAGATTCATCTGTCTAAAATATTTTTTAAATTAGTAAATTCAGTCTTTAATCAAAGCAGTATAAGGATTAAAATGCTATCACAAGAGAACTACTTTTATCAAGTTGGTCTAGATACCAGTAACAGTTCAGTAATTCCATTTCATGTACATGTCATACATGAATATATTTATATATATAAAATCTATTGCACTGAAAGTATTCCCCACTAGAGAGCAGTGTGAATTTAAAATTACAAAAACAATATATCTCTAGATCTATAGAGCTAACCATATAGGCATACGATTACTATAAAAAAACAGATTTTTCAACCAAGATGTACAATTGTGTAAGCAAATATAATCTAGTAAATTAAACATTGTATGCTATGTGTATGCATGTCTCATTCCTTTTGAAACATTTACACACATAAGCTGGCAACCTAATAAAATGTATTAGCATGTTATTATGTCCTTCTAATATTCCAGTCAAAACAGTCTAATCCATTAAAGTCTTATTTTTGGCATATAGAATCTGTCTTGCATTACAATCTCATTCCAGGAAAGAAAATTACAAAACGCACACTCAATAACAGCACAATAAGCTAATAAGAGAAATTTCACCTTGGAAATAAGTGATTTGTACATCTACCATGTGCTTTCCGTAGAAAAGCATGTGACATCATTAGAGTTGCAATTTTTGTATATATACATTTTTGTATATGTCCACATCACTCTCAAATCCGGAGGAAGGGGATAATTTGTAACTGGAGTTTAGGTAACAACTAGGCAAACAGAAGTTTCAGAAATATATATTACACTACAGTACATCACCATTTTCTTTACAGATACACAGTGATTTTTGGATATGTAATGGCACTGCTAAAGGACTAAAGTGATGTATTACAAACCTTTATACCTGTAAAGCCAGCATTATATGGCAGCACTCAAAAAGATCTATTTAAGAAAAAATTGAAAAGGTGAAGAAAACATTTTTTTAAACAGAAACAGCTGCTGATTAAAACATTCCAAGTCATTCTTATTCAATATTTCTTAAGGAACACATAAAGATAGCAAGTGATGAAGAAGAGGGAGATATATGAGTATAATATGCTGACATATTTTAAAATACAATTTATTGCTCCAAGTAGGACTTTTAAAGAAACAAGAAAAAAAATTTTCTTAAAATCTTGTGAAGATCCACCAGTGTTTAAATCAACACACATGCAGTCTCACTCATGAAAACAACAGGCCTTCAGCTCATGCATGCATCATTATATACTTCCATTTTCTGGAGTAAAAATGTTTAGCCAGCAATTTTGATTGGCAAGGAAAAGAATGCTTAGTTCATCCTATTGGAAAATTACATGGAACAGGATTTTAAAAACTTAACTTTAAAAGCAATTTTTAATTTTTATCAATGTCTTTTTGCCTTGATAATATGTGGATAAGCTTTAAATGACAACCCTGTTTCACTGTGATCATATTATAAAGATCATGTCGACTGTACTGGCTACATATCTTTTAGAGTCATCAGTTTTGCAAAGAACTATTTTTTCCCCATAAAAGAAAGCTAGTTTCTCAATTTTAGGGGCCCTAATGAAGCCTTCAGAGCACTAGAAATGAGTGAACCAGGCAACCAAGATCCCAAAACTTCATGCCAATTTAAATAGCACTCGGGATAAATGCTTACATTTATTTACCCTGGGGCTCTGAACTCAATTTTGGCTCAATGATGCTTACCAGTAAAATGAACTTTGCACAACATTATAGTTTTGTGAACTAGAAAACTGTCCCATATGGAAAACCAGCACTACTACAATTTGTGGTGTTTGCTGGCTTAGATAACATAGCTACTTCCTGGGGATTTCTCTTCTAAAATGTGCTTGAAAGTAGGGGATTAGAAATCACATCCTTTCCTGAAACAATCCCTACCTTCTTAGCTGCAAGCCAATGGCATACTTTCTATTCAAGAAAATTGAAAGGAAATATCACTCATTTGTACTACAATTGTTCTCCTTCCAGACCGTCTTATCAGCATAGAACTGTATCAATCACTATGACTTTGGCTCTGTGTACATAATATTTAAACATGTTGGGTACATTCAAGAGGCCAACAGAGCACAGGAGTCCCAGACACCACTGTGTACCTAAGTCTGTTGTATTTAATGCAGACATCCTGCCACCAATGAATGACCCAGTTCAGCTTGGAGAAGAGAAGGCTTCAGGGTAACCTCAGAGATACCTTCCAGTACCTGAAGGGGCTTACAAGAAGGGACTTTTCACAAGGGCCTGTGATGACAGAGCAAGGGGAATGGCCTCGGGGTGAAGGAGGATGTGTTTAGATTAGGTATTAGGGGAAAAAATACCTCATTTTAAGTGCAGTGAGGCACTGGAACAGGTTACCCAGAGAAGTAGACTCTCCATCCCTGGACAGGTTTAAGCCCAAGTTGGATGGAGCTTTGCATAATTTGGCCTAGGAAGGTTGCTTTTCTATGGCAGGATAGCTGGAACTAGGTGATCTTTAAGGTCCCTTCCAACCCGAACCATCCTATGATTCTATGCATCTTAAAGCATATCTCCTTGTCTACTTCCCAACAGGTTACTACAATAAATACATTCTTGTAATAGCTGAAGGATACAAAAGATGGACAGGGCATTAAGGACAAAGTCCACTAATTACAATATTAAGGGATTTCTAATATTTCTTTTCAAAACTGTGAAAGCTATTCAAGTAACAATCATCAAAGATGGAGATGTTTGCATCTGAGTTACTCATTCCCAGACTCTACTCCATTCCTAGACACGTTAAATTTCACCAAGAATGCTATGCAGAGTGATCTCACAATGAGATAGACTAAAGCATAAACTCAGGTGTTTTGTGGTGAGAAAAACATATTCCTCTTCATTTGCAGATGTCTAGGGTGTACATTGCAAATTAGATGGGACAAATATTGCTCTGCCTGTGATAGAGTCTCTCCAAACATTAAAAGGACTGAACTTTCACTGGTAATAATAATAATACTCATGCTCTCAGATATCAACAGATAACAAATATTGAGAGATACCATCTGCTTTCAAGAAACTGTTCTTAATGCAATGTTTAAAAAAGAAAATAAAAAGAAAGAGAAAAAAAAAAGAGATTGATCACTTATCAATAGCCTCACCTTGTCAGTTTTCACATATTTGAGGGATGTTACTGGCATGCTACACCCTCTGGTAATAACTGGAATCTTATGTTTTCAAACTTCATAAATACATCATCACCAGTTGACATAAGTCACTGTAGCACAGCAACTTTTGCATGAAGCTTTTAAGAATCGTCTTCACACTGTGAGTGTGAGCCACTATGTGCCAGGACCCTTCC